GGAGGCCTTTCCCCCGCTCGGCCTGGCCCGCTTCCTGCAGGGGGGGTTCCGTGTCTGCGGCGCCGGGGAGCCCAGGCGGGCGAGGGTGGAAGCCGATTCAGGCCCGGAGAGAGGCCTCCGCCACCCTTCGCTCGCTCGCTCGCTTCCTTCTTCAGTCCCTCCCTCCGCTGGCGTCCTTCGTGAGGGAACGGGGTGGGGGACCTTTAAGCCCCGGCTTCACCCCGGCGGCCCCGCACCCCTCGCTGCTCTCCTGACCGGGCCGCTGTTCGCCTCCCTGGGCTGACTGGCCGGCTTTCTTGGCAGGCGGCTGGGGTTTATTTCGAGTAAGAGGAGCAAGGGAGATAGCCCAAGGGACTGCGGGGTCAGATTTTGGAACAGAAGCTCATTTCTGAGCCAGGGTTAAGGCCTCCGGAATGCCTCCAACGAGCCCCAGATCACGGGGCCTCATCCTTTACATTTTTCTCTTCTTATCAGGTGGTGTTTCACAAAATGTCTCCTAATGAGACCTTGTTTCTGGAAAGCACCAACAAAATCTATAAAGATGATATTTCTAATAGTTCGTTTGTGAACTTCCAAATATGGGACTTCCCTGGGCAGATGGACTTTTTTGACCCAACCTTTGATTACGAAATGATTTTCAGAGGAACTGGAGCCCTCATCTATGTCATTGACGCTCAGGTGAGTATTAAAGACAGAGTTGGTTCAGTGATGTGAGAGGTTTTTTGTTGGGGGAGGGGAATCATTCTGTCTCATAGAGCTAGATGTTTGTTTGGCTCAGAGATATGGATGAGATATAAACCATTATTAATAGTGTTCTGTAGCTTTACTCTTTTTTCTACAGTGTTTTTTGTAACTTTTTGGTATAGTAGAGGAATTATAGTGATTCTTTTTGCTTCCTTTCAGTGCTTATGCTGCATGGCTGTCAAACTGAATAGTCTGTTTACAATTTGATTTACAGGATGACTATATGGAAGCTTTAACCAGACTTCACATTACAGTTTCAAAAGCTTATAAAATTAATCCAGAAATGAACTTTGAGGTTTTTATTCATAAAGTTGATGGTTTGTCAGATGACCATAAAATAGAAACTCAAAGAGATATTCATCAGCGAGCCAATGATGATTTGGGTGATGCTGGGCTAGAAAAACTCCACCTTAGGTAAGTGCAATTGATTTTGATGTGATTACCTTCTTTCTATGGTTTGATTCACCTGTTAAAATGCTTGGAGATGCATTTTTGAACAGCCATATTTTCTTGAGTGGAAAAGATGAGCTGTTGCTAGTGACCAGCTGATCTTTTCATGCATGATGTAAGAGTTTATAACTATAAAATGATGGCAAATTGGTTTCTCTATAAATGTTTTGATTAGTTTAATCTACGCTGCTCCCCTGCTGTCCTGTTATTTTTCACATATGGCAGATTCTGGAATGGGCTTTTGAAAGTTCACACGGCTCTGTTTCTTCTTGCTGTGCCACCACAAAAGACAAGATATGAGATATCACAAGAGCTGACTCTTTGCAGTATCTTGAAATTGCAACTTTTCTAGCTGTCCATGGAAGGAGAATCTTTTAAGCATACTGCATTGGGAGCTGTCATTGGCTGCAGAAGATGTGTGACAGATAGTAGTATGGTGGTTAAATTAGTGACAGTCTTTGCCCTCAGACCTTCAGGCGAAAAGGGAATTGGATGGGGAAGCAAGCAAGCTGATGCGTTCAAAGTTTCTGAGTAATTGCTAGAGAGTTAATGGTGGGAGTAATTTCAAAAGAAGGCAACTAGGATGGTATATGTTCTGGAAACCAATCTCTGGGAAGCATGGCTGAGGGAGCTAGATGTGTTTAGCCTGGAGAAGAGAAGGCCGAGAAGGAATATGGCATTTCAAGGGCTGTCCCATAGAAGAGAGAGGAAGCTTATTTTCTTTGTAGGTTCAAAGGGAATGACGCCCCCCCCCCAAAGGATTGAAATTACAAGAAAAGAGATTTTGCCCAAATGCTGGGAGAAACTTCCTGGCTATAAAAGTTGTTTGACAGTATGAGGGTAGGGGACACACCTTCCTTGGATATTTTCAAACAGACTGAAATCTCCCCAGGGTGCCTTAACTGTTGATTTTCTGCTTTGGTGTTGGACTGGACTTTAATGGTCCTTCCAGCTGTATAGCTATATGAATTCTGTGATGCTGTAAATACAAAGTAAACTCTTACGGTAGAAGGGTATCATTAGAAGCATACAGCCATTCAAAAGCAGTTGGTGGTACTACAAAACCATTAACTGTGGATTTCTGCTTTGCAGTTTTTACTTGACAAGCATTTATGATCATTCCATATTTGAAGCATTCAGTAAAGTGGTTCAGAAACTCATCCCACAGTTGCCAACGTTAGAAAATCTATTGAATATCTTTATATCGGTAAGTGCCTGTTCTTTGTCCATTTAAATGTAAATGGTGCAGAAATTATTTGTACAGCCACCAAGCAGGAAATTCTGACTTACCCGATGGTGGAGATGTCACTTTGGTTGTGGTTCAAGATACCTTGATGAGAAGCATCAAGGAAGTGCCATATTTGGTTAGAATTTGAAGCTCTCCAGTTCCTCTTTGACAAGTTGTTGTGTGGCCCTAGCTGGGGTGCATGACTTGGGATAGGAGAATGATCCTTGTCCTGTATATGAAGCTTCCCCTCTTGCTTGAATAGGAGGGGGGGAATCTTGGACTAACCCTAAAAGCTAAGTCTGCTTTCTCCAAAGAGAAGACTGTAAAGGTGGATAAGAGACTCCAGACATGTAGCAATGCTTTACTTCAAAAAATGTGTAATGTGATTTATAGATGGGTTGGTCATTATTAATGCTTTTTAGATTAGCTGCAAAAACAGGGTATACCAGCTATCAATTTGATTTTCAGATTTCTTAAGAATAAAAAGCCATGTTAATTGTCTGCCAACGTTATCAAGATATGCTGTGCAGTAAACATTTTGCTAACAAAAAATTAATCACTAGTCTGTGAAAATAAAGCAATTCTTTGTCAGAATAATAGTAGAAAGGCCATGAAGTCTTCCAAACTGAAGTTTTGTATGCACATTGTGGGACTGTAAGGGTGAGAGCCAAAGGGCTATCTGAGCTTTATAATTAAGTCATGCACTAAGTAATTTTAAAGCATCCATCTGTTAGAAGCTTACAGGTGGTAACTTTTAAATGCTAGCTGGTAGAAGTTCCTGACCAATGCACAGTTTTGCAGTTGGTACAGGATGAAGGTGGTGGGGAGTAGGTCAAAAGAGACTTTCAGGGCTGATCCTCCTCCTGATGTGGGGCAGCCTTTAGTGGCAGCAGTGTGCTGAGGGATCCCTGTGGCAGATGGGATAGCCTGAGATCTTGTCATGTGTATTGTTTCTCAGTGCCATTGAAATTGAGATTTGGTTCCCTATTCACTTCCGCTCTCAGAGTCATCGAAATCCTGCTCTGGAAGACTTTCCTATATCCTGGAGCACTTCCTACATTAGGATACTGTACAGCCTTAGAAACATCCGATTTAGCAGAGGAACACCACTGGATGTGGGTGAATTTGTCCAACTTTGCTAGAAGGCTGTGGTGTTTTATACCATGTGCCATTCCAATGAGTGCAAAGCGAGGTGTTTTTGATAGCAGCTTAGAAAGGCACAGCAGAATTAATGTAAACATGATAACACAGCATGGTGAGCTGCTTCTTGTAAATAATCAGCTATTGGTGAACAATTCTTTTGCTCTGTAGAGAAGTAAATGCTTCTCCAGGCCCTGACATTAGCTTCATCTTACTCTGTAAACATTGTCGTTCTTCTGCAGAATTCACCTGCTTTTGGAGAGTGGGTGGTATCAAGTCACTTACTGACAAGCTGTGTAATGCTTTGGAGTTCTTCTGTGGGCTAGTAGGGACCTGGGAGGGACATTGACCATTTGATGCAGGTGTGTGCAGCTTGTGGGTCAGTGAACCGAGGTGCCATCAACCCACCATCAGGGGAAGTCCTCCTGTGCCTGCTTGTTTATGTAAAAGGGATAAAGGGGGTCTTTCTTCCAGTTGTTAAATTGCCTTGAGTGTTTTAAATTTCTTTGACATGAAGATATGCTGTATTTGTGAGAGGTCACAGTTTATAGTTCTGTCTTTCATTTTTTCAAGAATTCGGGGATTGAGAAAGCATTTCTGTTTGATGTTGTCAGCAAGATTTATATTGCCACGGATAGCTCTCCTGTTGACATGCAGTCCTATGAGCTGTGTTGTGACATGATTGATGTTGTCATTGATGTCTCTTGCATATACGGGTAAGTTACATGACAAGCTTTTGTGGCTTTTTACAAGCAATTTGGGAAAACATTGGAGTACTTGGAATAGGTGTTCCTTTTCTGTGTTTGTAGAAGGTAATGGCATCATTACTTTCATATGTTTGGCATCAGTAATGGGCTGGACGAGGGCAAACAAACTGAAAGTTAATCCAGACAAGACAGAGGTGCTCCTGGTTAGTTGGAAGGCAGATTAGGGAATAGGGATACTACCTGTGCTGGTTACACTCCCCCTGAAAACTCAGGTCCGCAGCTTGGGAGTGGCTCCTGGATTCATCCCTAAGCTTGGATGCCCAGGTTTCAGTGGTGGCCAGGAGTGCATTTGCACAGCTAAAGCTGGTGCACCAGCCGCACCCGTTCCTTGAGATGTTCAATCTGGCTACAGTGACACATGTCTTAGTTACATCCTGTTTGGATTACTGTAGCACACTCTATGTAGGGCTGCTTTTAAGGACGGTTCGGAAACTTCAGCTAGTGCAAAACTCTGCAGCCAGACTACTGACTGGAGCCAACTATAGGGAACATATAACACACCTGTTACAAGAACTGCACTGGCTACCAGTCTGTTTCCAGGCCCAATTCAAAGTGCTGGTGAGAGAGGGCCTTCTCTGTGGCAACTCCCAGGCTCTGGAACGCTGTCCCTTGGGAGAGCAGGATGACCCCTTCCCTGTTATCCTTCTGAAAAAAGCTAAAGACCCATCTCTGCAGGCAGGCTTTTAACGGTTATAACTGAATCCCTGAAACCCATTTTAGCAGATAATTTTAATCTTTGTTATGCTTTCATGTTTTAATCTTTTAATCATATATTGTTTAATTTATCTTTTAATATTTAACTTATTGTGCTTTTAAATTGTGTGAATTTTAATATTGTGAGCCACTTTTGGTCCCTTGTTGGGAGAAATGCGGCGTATAAATCAAACTAATAAAATAATAAAGGTGGCTGCCAGATTGCTGATTGGGGCTTGTCACACTGATCACATAATTCCCCTGATGCATCAGCTCCGTTGGCTGCTGATCTGCTTCTGGACACAGTTCAAAGTGCTGGTTGTAACCTATAAGAGCCCAGGTTGTCTCAAGGACCGGATCTCCCTTTGTGAGCCTGGTCTTTTCTGTCACTGCTCCTGGACTCTAGAACTGTCTGCCATAGGAGGCCAGGCTGTCCCCATCTTTTCTCTCCTTCCTCAAACAGACAAGCTTTCTCTTAATGACTAGCTGCCTGGGTGTGAGTCTTGCTTCCCTAAATGGGTCCTGTGGCTTTTGAGAGGCCAGGGAAGTCTGCAGAAGACAATTTGGAAGGTGTTGGGTTGCCTTTGGCCTCACCTGCTGTGCGAGAAAGGGGATCAGAGACTTCTGTGGACAGCTTATGTCATTTCAGATGCTGGAGTACGGTAGCTAATACATTGTTTTACCTTCCTTTTTCTTTCTTTTTTCTTTTCTTTTTTATTGTTGTTAATTTCCTTAAAGCTTCTCTTTTTTTGTAATTGTTTTGTTTGTTTGTTTGCCTGCTCATGTGTTTGTATATTTTTCTTCCTGCTGTAGCTGTTTCTGTGAATGGGTATTTTCTTTAGTGAAATCTTTTCTGTGAGGAGAGAATCCGTATCTCAGTTGTAGGCATTGGCAAGGCCAAGGCCAGCTTATCCCAGTAGGGCTCTTAGGCACTCTCGTGTTGAGCACTCCAGTTGCAATTTAGCTGACTAAGTGGTTTTTCAGAACACACGAAGTGTTTCCTGAGCCACAGAGACACTTCCGTTGCATCATTGGGCTTCACAGATGGGTCTGGGCATTAACAGAGTATCCCAGTTGGGCACAGAGTGACTGCTTTTCTTTTGAACTTTGCTACAGGCTGAAGGAAGATGGGAGTGGAAGTGCATATGATAAAGAATCTATGGCAATTATCAAACTTAATAACACAACTGTTCTGTATTTAAAAGAAGTTACCAAGTTCCTGGCGTTAGTGTGTATCCTGAGAGAGGAAAGCTTTGAACGCAAAGGTGAGAGGAAAACCTTGGTGACCTTTTCCCAGTCAGTGTTCCCCAGTCTCCAGAGGGCCAAGGAGGGGCACTGTGGGGACCCTGGGGAGCCAGTTTGGAGGAATCACCCAGAGCTCTGTGCTGGCAGTTTTCCTTTTCCTCTCCTCAACCCTTTTTTTTCTTTACTAGGCCTCTATAGCCATGTTATGGGACTGGTCTCTCTGGTGGGAGCTTGCAGTGTCTGTCCACATTTGTGGTTTGAGTGTGGTTATTAGGAAAGGAAAGTCTGCAGGAAAATTCCAATTGAAGAATTCAAGAAAATGTGTTTTTTTATGACATTTTTTGAGTACCACACTTCATGTGAGACAGTTGTTGGTCTTAACAGGGTACCATCTCAAGAGTGTGTCGATTGTGTGAATGTTTGGGAGTCCCCTCCCCCCCCCCGTGTGGTTACTGGCCTTGTTCTATTTTGATAAGTGCTCAACATTCAGCACAGTTTGCTTGGCTCAGTCAACGTTTAGCAGTTTTTCTAATTCAGAGGGATGATTATGCATGTCAAAATACTACTTTGGTTTATTTAGTTGTTGATAATAATGGTGTTGCGTCTGAAGTACATTTGCCAGTGTAGCCCTGGATTGATTGCTCTTGGTAGAAGAGTTTGGCTTTGACCAAAACTATAACGAGTTCTTGACTTTAAAAAATGTTTCAGTTCCTAAGTGTAGCCTTGGAGGTTGCTGAGCTAAGGGTAGCTTTTTTCTTGTGGGCTTCTCGACAAGGGTTAGGGCTATGGTGAGTTGCTCGTCAGTAAGAGCATGAGTGTGGAGTTTGTTTGGAATAGACCAGATAGAATTTAGGGAACTAGGCCAGGGCTTTGATAAATAGTTTCCAGCTGAAGCGTGTGTCGTGGAAGCATTTTCTGGGAAGTCAGTCTGGCTCCCAGATGGACTGTGTTCTTTTCCTTCTCACCAGTCTCTTACTTTTGTCTTTACAGGCTTAATAGATTACAATTTCCACTGCTTCCGCAAGGCCATCCATGAAGTCTTTGAAGTGGGTATTTCCTCCCACCGATCCTGCAACCATCAAGCAAACATCCCTGGTCTGAAAGCAATGACTCATAATGGCACCCCTAGGAATGCAGTTTAGGGGAGAGAGACCACAGTAGGATGGTTAGGTGCTTGCCTGCCCTGTGTCTGGGCGTCAGGGATGGGCAGCACAGAGAACTTGCTGCCCAAATTCCTCTGTGTATTCTGGAAGAGGAAGGACTTTGCCATGTGGAGCTGCAGGTGTAATTGGCGTGGCATAGCCGAAACGACCATGAAGGACTTGGGGATGGAGAACATTGGCTTTTGCCTTTCTCTGGTGGCCCTTCAGTCCTATCTTCACTTGGAACCCCCCCCCCNCCCCCCCCCCCCCCCGTGATTTAAAATACAGCCTGGGTTACTCTAGGAGAAAAGCTGGATTGACAGCTGCTCAGCATTATGCATTTGAACTGGAACAGTCACCCATTTCAAGGAAGTTGATGACCTCTTGCAGATGTTCAGAAATTCAAAATATTACATCTTGTAACTTAGTTTAGCACAATCGCAAACATTCCATTTGATCCTTTGGGTTTTACCGTGACATTTTTTTGTTAATGCTTGAAAAATAATTCCATATTCAGTGCCTCAGTAAAGAAGCTGATTTTCTCTGTTGTAGAATGTTCTAAGAGACACAGACAACATAACTCTGTGGCTGTGAACTAGTTTACAAGATGTTTGTCTTACATTTTTTTCATTGTTGACAAGACAACTAACAGGTTGCCGGCAGGAGTTCCTGTAGTTGTTTTTCAAAGCTGCTTTTGTAGTAAATGATCATCCGATTTTGCCCTGTCATGGCTGATATCTTCATGAAATTGGTGCTTATTCCAACTTTTGAAACCAATGATGAGAACGCATCCTGGGTTTGTGTTTGCAAAACAGGGCATACGAGACCCACAAATATAATGGTCCAAAGTTTTGTTACTAAAATTTGCAGTAGTTCCTCACCAGGCAATGAAGTTCCTTTGCCCAAAAGCTAGAAAGATATGTGTGTCCCTGTGCTGGCCTGTTTTCAGTATGTGAGAAGTGTGCCTCTTCTGCTATGGCTCATGGTGCCCTGAATTTGGAAAGAGTTGCTGGCCCCTCTAGTGGAAAGGCCGCACTTCTGGAAAGGCCACCGACCTTCAAGCCATGTTCTTCCACAGGAATCTCTGCAAGTATGTGGAAGGTTTAGTAGGCTTGCTGCTGCCTGCAGCTGAGTGGGTTCTTACAGGCCGTTTGGTTCAGAGGGGGCTTCCATGTCAATGAGCTGCAGTAATAAAAAGGATTTATCTGAGCAATTGTTTCTTTTGCAAATTAAGTGGTTCTGTGAGGTGTGAGTCCTGGTGCCCAGACGGAGGCAAGATACAGTATGAGCTGTAGGATCAGGGAGACTAGTTGTGGTGAATTAATCTGGTTACTGCAGTTAGAGCTGCTGATCCATGCCTTGCATAAAGCTGTGCTCTGCTTTTAACTCCTCTCTTCCATAGAAGGTGATCTGTTTGTGGAGAGTGATCGCTACGAGCAACCCACCCTAAATTCTGCCCTCCATGTTATCACCTTGCAGGATACTGGCTTAACACATCAGCCGGCTGCTCTCCCTCTCCCCTCACTTGCAGACCTTGTACTTCTGGAGCCCACTGCATGCCGTGCCTCACCCTTTTAAAACCAAGCAGGTGGTTGGTGTGGAGCAGCTGAGAAGAGACTCACAAGGCCCATGTTCATACCTTCCCCTTCTCCACTCCTTGCCCTTTAAATTCTTGTGTCTTGGAACCTAAGCACGGTGGTGAGGTCTCTCAGTGGCTGCCAAGGGCTGAACCCCAGGAAAGAACTGCCTTTTCTTCCCTGCGCCTTTCCCCCACTTGGGTGCTTGGGGTGAACCATATTCCTAGAAGCTGGAGAGCTCAGTGCTTTAGGCGTCTGGCTGTGGAGCCAGAGGTTGGGAGTTTGATTCCCCCCACTGGACTTCCTTGACAGGAGCTGGACTCGATGGTCAAGAGGACCCTTTCCAGCGCTTCCTTGACAGGAGCTGGACTCGATGATCAAGAGGACCCTTTCCAGCTCCACAGTTCTAAGAGAAGCAGCTTGTCGTCGTTGTCGGGATCTTGCACCGCTTGCTTCCTGGCAGCTGCTGCCCAACTCCTGATGAGCTGGTGAGGCTTCCATTGTGGAAGATGGGCTGCAACCAGGGGAGCGGGAGATGAAGGGAAGCTGTTCCTCCGGTCCTCTGGAAGGCTTCTCAGTGATAGATTCTGGATGTGAAGGGCTTGGCTTTGGTTCTAATCCACAAAGGCTCATACTGGAATAAATCTATTCATCTCTAAAGTGCTCTTGTTTTCCCTTTATTTCTGTGTTTATTTTTACTGAAACTGACACTGCTGCCTTTCTGAAAACGAAGTACTTTGGGAGGCTTTTGGTCTGTCGTCATTGTTTAGTCGTTTAGTCGTGTCCGACTCTTCGTGACCTCATGGACCAGAGCATGCCACGCCCTCCTATCTTCCACTGCCTCCCGGAGTTGTGTCAAATTCATGTTGGTTGCTTTGCAGATGCTGTCCAGTCATCTCATCCTCTGTCGTCCCCTTTTCCTCTTGCTGTCACACTTTCCCAACATCAAGGTCTTCTCCAAGGAGTCTTCTCTTCTCATGCTTCTCTTCTCACTTCTGTACATCTCCCTTGCTAGCGTGTGAAATGAGTGGTCTGTAATGATATCTAATTATAGTTTAAAGTTACATTTTATCTACTTCAACCTAGTTGGGAACAATTGGAGAGGCTTTTTTTACGTTTATGTTTTATCTTTGTTTCTGAAGCTGCCATTCCAGTAACATGTTGGAAAAAATAGCTACATACTGTATTGTGGTTTCCCTGAAATGCAAAGCAGTTACTTTTAGTTACATTTAGAAACAACTGGATGTTGCAAGCTGCTTGCCTGTGATACAGAGTACCCGCTCATATTCCCGGCTTTTCCCCCTGGCCTAAACAAAGCAGGAAGCATCAGCACATGACCCTGAATGAGCCTCTCCCTGAACCTTGTCCTTCCTCCGCCATCACTTAGGGAGGGCAGCCACTGTACCTGTAAGTGCAACCAAAAAGTTTAACACTGCAGGGGAGTGACCTCATCTCTCATTAGGTTGCATGACTTAATGCAACTTAATAGTGCTTTAGTTCCTTGTTGTCGTTCAGTCGTGTCTGACTCTTCGTGACCCCAAGGACCAGAGCACACCAGGCCCTCCTGTCTTCCACTGTCTCCTGGAGTTGGGTCAAATTCCTGTTGGTCGCTTCGATGACACTGTCCAACCATCTTGTCCTCAGTTGTCCCCTTCTCCTCTTGCCTTCATACTTTCCTAACATCAGCGTTTTTTCCAGGAAGTCTTCTCATGAGATGGCCAAAGTATTGGAGCCTCAGCTTCAGGATCTGTCCTTCCAGTGAGCACTCAGGCTTGATTTCCTTTAGAATGGATAAGTTGTTCTCCTTGCAGTCCAGGGGACTCCCAAGAGTCTCCTCCAGCAACACAATTCAAAAGCATCAATTCTTTGGTGGTCAGCTTTCTTTATGGTCCAGCTCTCACTTCGGTACATCACTACAGGAAAAACCATAGCTTTTACTATTTGGACTTTTGTCAGCAAGGTGATGTCTCTGCTTTTTAAGATGCTGTTGAGGTTTGTCATCGCTTTCCTCCCAAGAAGCAGGTGTCTTTTAATTT